TACAACCCAAACTTGCACCTATACTAATGGTACAACTTTAATTTATACCTACACTTTCTAAAAATCCTTCTATGGTACAACCCAAACTTGTACCTATACTATGGTACAACTTTAAGTTGTACCTACACTTTCTAATAAATCCCTTTATGGTACAACCCAAAATTGTACCTATACTAATGGTACAACCTTAAGTTGTACCTACACTTTCTCCAAATCCAGCTATGGTACAACCCAAACTTGTACCTATACCATGGTACAACTTTAAGTTGTACCTACACTTTCTAACAAATCCCTTTATGGTATAATTAAAAATTGTACCTATACTAATGGTACAACCTTAAGTTGTACTTACACTTTCTCGAAATTCTTTTATGGTACAACCCAAACTTGTACCTATACCATGGTACAACTTTAAGTTGTACCTACACTTTCTAACAAATCCCTTTATGGTACAACTAAAAATTGTACCTATACTAATGGTACAACCTTAAGTTGTATCTACACTTTCTCAAAATTCTTTTATGGTACAACCCAAACTTGTACCTATACCATGGTACAACTTTAAGTTGTACCTACACTTTCTAACAAATCCCTTTATGGTATAACTAAAAATTGTACCTATACTAATGGTACAACCTTAAGTTGTACCTACGCTTTCTCAAAATTCTTTTATGGTACAACCCAAACTTGTACCTATACCATGGTACAACTTTAAGTTGTACCTACACTTTCTAACAAATCCTTCTATGGTACAAATAAAAATTGTACCTATACTAATGGTACAACTTTAAATTGTACCTACACTTTCTAATAAATCTCTTTATGGTACAACTCAAATTTGTACCTATACTAATGGTACAACCTTAAGTTGTACCTGCACTTTCTCAAAATCCTTCTATGGTACAACCTAAACTTGTACCTATACTATGGTACAACTTTAAGTTGTACCTACACTTCCTAAAAATCCTTCTATGGTACAACCCAAACTTGTACCTATACCATGGTACAACTTTAAGTTGTACCTACACTTTCTAACAAATCCCTTTATGGTACAACTCAAAATTGTACCTATACTAATGGTACAACCTTAAGTTGTACCTACACTTTCTTAAAATTCTTTTATGGTACAACCCGAACTTGTACCTATACCATGGTACAACTTTAAGTTGTACCTACACTTTCTAACAAATCCCTTTATGGTACAACTAAAAATTGTACCTATACTAATGGTACAACTTGAAGTTGTACCTACACTTTGTGAAACAAATTCTTCAATGGTACAGCTGAAACTTGTACCTATACTATATGGTACAACTCTAATTTGTACCTACACTTGTATACATTGATTCATTATTTACAAGATTGCCATTAATGATGTGGGACCAGTCATTTAGTGGGTTACCTCCTCAACAGGTCACCTTTTTTTTTTGTTTTTTATAGCATGGGTGCTATAGAGCACACTAGAAGGGCTCTAGATGAATATGCTCGCATAGTTTCTCATTTTCCATGTACTACCGCAGGGATATTTGCAACTGGACTAGAAATGATGATGGCAATCAAAAGTTGGGAAACTTCTTCGCCCGTTTCGTTTCATTGCTTCATTAAGTGTGAATCGTTGTTGTAAACTAGGATGACCAGATCAAGAAAAATTACTAAGAACTAATTACCACTCATAGCAAACATAACAAAAGTTACTTTCAAATCATACATAAACTATTAAGAAGATTTTAAAATCATTTAAAAATATTGTCATAAAAATATAATTAACAAAATGAAATTCATCTTACCAATGGTTAGGACCATACATAAGGTCTCGATTGTGATTAGTGGAAAACTTAGGACCAAATATTTAAATTGGTTGGATGAATTTTGTGAGCTTTGACTCTAACATTATACATCCTCGAGTCACCAAGTTACAAGACAAATTTATTGATAATTGGTTCATCATAAGTTTGATTTTGTTGGATTGTGTTTACGATTACATGACAATCAGATTCATCAAAAAATTGATGGACCCCAAATTAAAAAATAAGTGTGAAATACATCTCTTACATGTCCAACTTAACAACCTTTGCCACTGTTTTTTCCTTGGGACCATTACTACACCCTTAGGTTGGGTCAATCAGTTTGAGTCACTTTTAGGTCAATAGCCCCGAACTCCTAAAGGGAAATAACGTCAATCACTCTCGTACCCTTGTGTTGCAAAACACCTCCTAGATTAATTACTTCACTTACTCATGAGTAAATTCAAAATATTTTAAATATAATTATAAAGTCACCAATGTAAAGGATAAAACAAAACTCGCTGAGTAAAAGCTAGGATGATATTATAATGATTTTGACATGGCTTTAGTATCCAATTAATCCATTATCATACTATACATTAAACAACATTTGCATCACCAATTACAATTTCGTTTATTGTCTATGTTTGGCCCGGCTTTTAGAAGTGCTTTTCGGTTTCAAAAGCTGAAGCAGGGCCAAACACCTCTAAAAGCTCGGCTTTTGAAAAGCCGAAAAGCGCTTTTATATAACATAAAAGCAGAAGCTAAAATTTGGAGCTTCTGCAAAAAGCTGTTTTGAAAATACAAGATTATCCTTACCGTATTTTAATTTTATTTCAGAAAATATAATTTTCCTTCATTTATATCATTTTAAAAATAAAATAAATTATAAAATCATATTATTTAATATAAAAGAAATCTAACAAGATCCATTTTGACTGTTTTTATTTTTTTATTCATATTTTATATTATAAGTCCTTTATAGTCATTTTACACAACCGCTCATATTAAAAAGCACTTCTAATAGTTTTACAGCCAAACACTAAACTGCTTTTTTTGAAAAATACTTATCTAAAAGCTCCAGCCAGAAACTGCTTTTGCAAAAGCTACAGCAGGGCCAAACTAACTATTGTCCAATTGCGAATCTAAGAGTCGTTTGCTTCATGGATTTACATAAAAAGATTTGGTACCAAAATAAAACCATCACGACATGTTTGGATACAATTCCGGAAGAAATGGAAATGGAATTCCATTTTTATTTTCTATTTTTATAGAATTCCATTTCCAGTTTTTGTGTTTGGTATAATTTCTACAACTATGAAAATGAATTGCACTTTTAACTATAATTAATAATATAATATGTTTGTTTTATCTTGGGAAATGGACTATGAATGATAGAGAAAGAGAGTAGAGTGATAATTGATTAATAAAATAATAATAAATAATGGTGGGATCCACTAATTTCATCTTCATGAACCCAATTTCTACAACTTTTATAGAAATTGTAATTCCCAAAACTTTAGGCTAAATGGAATTCATTTCTCAATCTTATCATTCCAAACATAAAATATGGTTTGTTGCAAGATTGGTCACTAAGAGTACTAAAAACGTTCAGGTTTGGCCACTGCAAATATTTAATTCCATTAGTGGTCACTGAGATTACTTAATCCGTCCAAGTTTGGTCACTCTCCATTAACTTCAGTTAGTCTCCGTTAACGGTGTCAGTTTTCGCTGACGTGGCTAACAGAAAATACAGTCACCCAATTTTAAACCCGACAAAACTCAAAACCTGACCCGCCACGTCATTAAACCCACCATATAAGAAACCCAAACCCAACCCAACCCTTTTATCTTCTTCTTTTGTATGACTAGATCGAAAAAAAACCTTATCCCCTAATTCCCAGAAACCCTTCCGCCTCCTCGGCCCTTGCCTTTTACTTCTCCCTCTCTTACAGCATCTTCATGCTTACCAACTCCAATCGAACACCCTATGTTTAAAGATTTGCAAGGAGGGCCCTTTCAATTTTCTATTTAGAAATTCCCAAAGATTTGCCAAACGTCCTCTTCTCATCTCTATATAAACCACTATCCATGTCTATCCATTCCACATAATCAAGGAATTTTAGATCAGACAAAGCAACAAATCTTAGCAGCAATCTTAGAATAAAAAGAAGAGATGGATCTCCGATTCGTGGGATTCGACTACGCACTCCTCCAGACCCTATAACACATGATAGACACCATGGGAGAGGAGTCAGATGCGAACGTCACCGGCACCGCAGCAAGTCCTCGTCTTCACTCTTCTGCAACAAACGCGCCAACGAGGACGTACGTGAGGAATGCCAAAGCGATGGCGGCGACTCCTGCGATTTAAAGGAGTACTCAAATGCCTACGCGTTCATAAACGACATGCCCAGGAAGACGGCAAGGGAAGTGCAACGATTAAACTTCGGGACCCTGAATTTTGTCAATCTGCTTGGCGATTAAGCTCCGAGATGGAAGGACAACGACGAGCAGAGGAGGGGTGATGGGGTGGAGAGAGAACAAAGTAGATATATTTATAGGTTGGGTTGGTCAAGAAGGTTTTGGTCATGGTTTGGGTGGATTATCTTATGTGGCTTGTTTTAATGACGTGGTGGGTCAATATATGCTTACTAGGCATTTCTGTTAGCCACGTCAGCGAAAAACTGACGCCGTTAACGGAGACTAACGGAAGTTAACGGAGAGTGACCAAACTTGGACGATTTTAGTAATCTCAATGACTACGAATGGAATTAAGTATTTCCAGTGACCAGACGTGAACGTTTTTAGTAATCACCCTGACCAACCTTGCAATTTACCCCATAAAATATGTAATTAAAATTGGAAATGGAATTTCAATTCTTGAGTTTTTTGCCTATCCAAACAGGTTGTCAAGAATTTGGTTACAATCCTTTGTTTGCTTGGCCAAAAAATTTGAAGACAAATCCGTAAGGACCACGAATTTGAGTTTTATTTTGGCTCCAAATCCCATATGATAACTTGGGATTTGGCTAATGGTTTAAAAATCATGTTGTAAAAAGACACCTATATCCCTATTAACTTTTATTATTCCAAGTTTGTTCTCTTTCTATTATATTTTCCTATTGTCGATAATGTTTCCCCGCAAATACGGAGCACCTCTTCCTTCTCGTAACAGAACTCATCAAGCTTGTATCTTTGGAAAATCACATAATCATGCAATGTAGAATTTTATTTAGACGTGACATCGTAAGAATTTATATAATTTTAGATGATAGTATCTAATTTGAAAGAATTGTGATATGGAGTGCCATATTGATGATGCGAGTTCAATCTCGGCATCTTATCTTGCGTCACTCTCCTAAACATCTACTAAATTACGATCAAATGGACACATAATTATCTCAACCGCTACTACCGCTACTTGACCAAAGTATTTTTCTTAATTTAATGAGATTTACATAGTAATTATTGTTTAAAAAGGCGTCAACCGATAGTTATTAATATGTTTCTTTTAAACATCCCGCTACAAAGTACGAACCATCTAACTTGTATAATGTAAAAGAGTAATAAGGTAAATTAGTTTTTTAAGTTACAAATCTCAAACCCTTAAATCGATGACCAAAACAACTCAACAAATAAAGGAATGTTTCAAATTCATAATACACTAAATCCCTAATAAATCCTTGGATTTTCAAATTCAACACAAAAAACAAAACCTTCATTTTAAAATCCATGAAACAAAACCTTCATTCTCAAATCCCCTCGGAATCCGACCGCTGCTCGACAACCGTCCCTCGCCGTCACTAGTGCATATTCATCGGTTCGATACTGAACCAGAAAGGAAAGGAGCGGGGTTTGGAACTGCAATTAGCGAACGCCCATAGCAGGGGCTGGGAGGAGCTTATCGAATGGGGGGGATTGAATTGGGTCGTGGCGGTAGTTTTACTCGGTTCACTTTTACGATCGCCGATTGTATGGTCGAAAGAGGAGCTGAGCTCGAGGCAATGCGAGGATCTAGGATTCACCGGGCTCGCCCTTTGCTCCGATTGCCACGCTCTTGCTGAGTACGTCAAAAATCAAGGTCTTACTTCCTTTCCCCTCTTCTTCATTTCCTCGTTTCCAGGTTTAAGCTGTGCATTGGTGTCTTTCTCTGAGAATAGCACCTTGATGATTGCTGATCTGATAATTGTGGTGATAAGTTTTCTTCTGCTTATTTGTCATTTTGATTGCAGAATTGGTCTCTGACTGTTTGAAATGTTGCAACGAGGACTCGGATGACTCCATGAGCAAGGTATCTTTGTATTAACAGTAGTTAAGTTTACTAATCAAATATTCGAGTTAGCTGTTTGGAATGTAAGCCCCTTAGATCATGTTGAGCATATTCATTACTAATACTTCGGTTGGTCCCCTCTACTGATTTCTCATTGTGAGATAATTTAGCTGTATTCCCATTACATTCTACTGGTTAGTGGGTAATGACGGACTCGAATGGTTTCTCTTTGCTTGTGGTCGATTTGAGTTTCGATATAGTACATATAATAGGTCTATAATATACTCTCATGATATCAAGTCACTTCTTTAACACGAAAAGCTCTTAGTGAAGATGCTGAAATCTTCTCCAATTCATACTATCGTGTAACTTCTTCAGTGATAAAAAGCTTAGTTATACTCTACTGAGGATTATTTAATTCAATGTCACACAGTTATTGTGATATCTAAAAAGTGAAGCTGATGTTTGAAATCCCTGTGATCTTTGCTCTGTCTTCATTGCTCATTGAATGTCTTGCCTTGCTTAGTTCATTCATTCTGTTCGCCTTGGAATCTCCCTCTACAGATTTCTAATAATGAGATGATTTAGCTGTGTTTTCATTACATTCTACTGGGTAGTGGGTAATGAAGGGCTCGAATGGTTTCTCTTTGTGGTTGATATGATTTTTGACATTGTATAAGATATAATCAGTCTACCATGTATAGTCTCATAATGCCAAGTCATCCCTGACTGAGCTCTTCTTTAAGATGAAAATCTCTTATTGAAGATGCGGAACTCCTTGCCAATTCACACTATCGTGTAAGCCGTGATAGAAAATGAAGTTATACTCACTTAAGATTAAGGAATACAATGTCTTCAGTTATTGTGATCTCCAAAAAGTTAAGCTGATGTTTGAAACCCCTGTGATCTTTGCTATGTCTTCATCGCTCAATGAATTTCTTTCCTTGCTTAGTCATCCTTGTCTTTTTTGTTCTGCTCGGCATTTCAGGCATCAGCATTTCATATTATATGCTTTTGGACATGCTACATGTGTTGTTGGTTTCCATGTGTTGCATTTCTACCTGGTGCTTGTGGTAAAATGTAGACAAGAAAAGTTAACCTGAATTTTGTAATTGCAGGTTACCTACTCCGGTGCAGTACTGGAGGTTTGCATGAGGAAATTGGTTTTCTATCCTGAGATTGTTGGCTTCATTGAGGAAGACAAGGACCAGTTCTCTAGCATTAAAGTTCAATATAGTTTCAATTCTCCACCAAAGCTGATCTTGCTGGATGATGAAGGCCAACATAAAGAAACCATTAGGTAAGTTTTAGTTTCATAGTTAGTTCTTAGTTGTCCTTTCACTTTCTATTTCCTCATATTATATGGATGATATGATTCGTACTTTGCAAATGGACACTTGGTTTGATCCATTACTGGAGATGTTTGTCTACTGAGATACCATATAATCTTCAAGGAGTTGGAGAGAAATACAAAGCTATAGTCTTTAGCTATTGCTGCCACATGTTCTTCATTCTAAACATGTTGCTGGCAGCCCTAGATTCCTAAGCATTGAAATTGCCTTTAGAACCTGACCCTCACAATCTCATAGACATGTCCTTAGTGTGTCACTACCATGAGCATCTTTGCTTTTGCTAGAATTACATCATCATATACTCATTTTAATAAAAATGAGCCTTATATAGTTGTGGCTATTGCTTACAATTAGTTAACTCCAGAATGAAGAAAGGTATTTGATCTAGGATATGAAAAAAAAAACATTTTTTTCCTGGCCAAACTGTTTTGGATTGTTTATTTATTCTAGCTATATTTTATTGTATATTGCTCATGCAGAATCGACAACTGGAAACGAGAGCATATCTTGCAATTCCTGCATGAGAAGGTTAAGCCTAAGTCGGTATCAGCATCCTAAGGGCTTTCCATAACCTTTATGTTCTGGTCAAAGATGAAGCCTGATGGTGTTCATTGGAGAAATGAAGGTACTGGTGTTTACATATGAAAGAAGGGGTCTAATGTTTTATGATTTTGAATGAAAGAGAAAAAACAAAGACTAGACAGAAGCGAACCAGACAGACAAAGACTGAATTCAGAGTTCAGACACAGACAATTGTATTTCGTGAAAGTAGCTTGGCAGTTGAATGACTTGTGTGCAATGCAATCATTCTCTTGTTCAATTATTTGATTGGAATGAACTGCATGGTAAAATCTGTTTTAGATATGGGCCCATCCTATGAAAGAGTTTCATCGGCCGACAGCTTAATTCATTAACTCTGGTCGCCTTTGAATCTCGTCAGGAACTTGGAAATCATAGTTATCGTTTGAATGCTCTGATTCCTCTGTTGCTAAGCTGAACACTCCCCCTGGACTGCACAGCGCCAACATCGTCCAATTGTGGGGGTGCGATCTCAGTTGCTGGATCGACACAGATGGTATTGTTTACAAATCGTTGCTCGATCAATCCGACAATTGAGATTCCGCCCCTCGCAGGCGGACGATGTCCATGTACTTATAGACCCCCTACAACCCCACATATCGTGGGATGTGGAGGGTCTATAGGTTTGGCTCATAATGTTCCCTTTCCTCTGCCTTCCAATTTACTTTGCAGTTATTCCTTCTTTCTTTCTCTGTGGGTAGCTCTGTTCTTTTGGTTTCCCCCACTCACACTGCTGACTTCTGCACCAGAAACCAGGCATGGGGAGACTGGAATAGTGATGTCTATTCACAATCCACCCCCCCCCCTCTCCTCTTCTTTTCTTCTTTCCTTCAGGATGCTCTCTCTCTCGCTCTCTGTTTTCGTGCTCCTTCCTCCAAACCAACGCATGATCTTTTCACCATAATGCATTTTGCCAAGTTGGCAATCAAAAATCAATCCCCTTTGTTATGCTTCCAATTACCTTTCAACACATTTTGTCATGGAGAGTAATGGGTTCAAATCTTTTCATTGAGCTATAGGTCAATACCCACCATGATTTTAAATGGCCTTTCCTTGCTAAGAACATTTGAGAACTTACTAACCCCAAACAGCAGCAGCAACAACAACAACAACAAAAATGCAGCTATTGGTGAAACTAATTTCTAATTTCGCTCCCATGCTCACATTATGACTCTAGCTAGAATCGGTGTTGAGCTGATTTTTGGAACTCTAGAATTTGGTGCCTCTGATGTCATTTTTGCTCTAAAATGGCGGCTAAACTGCCGTTCTGCGCGCAGGGGAATTTTCAATTTAGCATCATGTTTCGTAACTCATGGATTAGGGTCTCGGCAAAATCTGATTTTGGACGAGTTACCTTGAAATTTTGTTGGGATTCAAGTGCATTTTTTCCGCAAGAAGAACCTTGATCTTTTCCTTTGGATTGTTCCCAAGAACCTATGCTCACATTACACTATACAAGCATGCTTTGATATCGTTGGATTCTTTATTTTGATTATTAGATTCACAGTATGTGAACTTTGTAAATAACCGACTGAAGTCGCTTTAAAGACAATCCAACAACATCAGCGGATAGTTTCTCTCCTTATAAGTATCAAAAACTAATCCTGGTGGAAGTGTTTCTATGGAGGCTCTCCTTTTTCTCATGGAAATGGTGTCTTGTTATGATGGGCAGTTTGAAGGGAAATTTTGTTTTGGGGGGAGGAGGTGGTGACTTTATGTCAAATCTGCAGGAGGTGGTGGTCTCTCTCAGGATTCCAACTATTATTATGTTATGTTACATGTGAATGAATGTGATATATATTCCCTTGCATTTCACATCCAATTTCACCTTCAGTGCCTTCATAATTTTGTTTTTGGTTTAACTTCTCCTAGAAGGTGAAAAAAGAAGTTACATTATGATCCTTGTCCTGTCATCTGACCTGATTTTGCACTACTTCAGGGCTCATGTGGAGTTTGAATCATTCTAGTACGATTCATTGAAATGAATGTTGACAATGCTGCCATGTCCTGGCTCAGCATGATCATGTTGTAAATGTGTCCTAATTAGGCAAGTGTGTTTGCTCGAAACTCTTAATGGTTATTGCACTCGTTTTATTTTGATAAGAGGCCAAAATTTCGTGGAATATAAGGGAAATATATAAGAAACCATTCATTCTAAGACCTCTTTCAGCTAGTATTTAGGGGTCGTTTGGTTTTGATGATAGTGAAATTGATGCATTGTTATCAATGCATGCATAATAATATACATGTATATAAGAAAATCAGTATATTATAGTTTACATTGTTTGGTTTATGTGATAGTTATTCAAATACTAAAATATGTTATATTTGTGTAATAAGAAAATTTGTGCAATATATGATCATATATTTGTGCCCTATACCCAATTAACACCTTCAGACTAAATATTTGCAAATCCGTGAACTCCATAAATTTCAACCCTCCAAGTCTATGTATCTCATAGATTTGATACTTCAGAATTCATTAAGCACGCAAATGCGCAATGGAGTTAACACAAATCCATGAATTTGTGTTTTCCCCTACTGTTGTATATGGTATGGAAAGGAGCTTTTTTTTATGAATGAAAGGAGCTTTTATTGAAACAGGAAACAGAATGTTTTTGGATGTTTTTAACTTTTACCAAAGTATCATTAAAGTTCACGGCATCAAATCAAATACATGTGATTAGAGCTTGTAGGCTGTAGGAGCTAATAAGGGAAAGATAGGCAAGTTGTAGCCCTAGTCCTCACTAGCCTTCAAATTACTAAAAACCGAGGCAATTTGTGCTGTTATGCACTAGTATAATGAACCATTTTCACTAAAACTAATAGAGTTTTGAATCCACTCATCACCAAATGAAAGAATGACAGAAAAAAAAGGAAGAAAAAAATTCTGGCTTGCAATTTCCCTACTAGCCTGAGTATTGGGATTATTATCTTTGCAGTAACATCGGACATGGCGCGATACTCAGCCTCAGTAGAAGATTTGGACACCCGATCTTGTTTATTGCACCGCCAGGAAATAATAGAACCACCAAGACGAATACACCAGCCAGTAGTGGAGCGTCGAGTATCAACACAGCCCGCGTAATCAGAGTCAGAGAATGCCTGAAGTACCAAGGAACCACTGGAGGGAAGAAAGAGGCCAACATTACGAGTACCCTGAAGATACCTCAGAATCCGATGAACAGAAGCAAGATGATCTGTACGTGGAGCCGCCATAAACTGACTGACAATCTGTACCGCATAAGCAATATCTGGACGAGTAGAAGCCAGGTAGATGAGGCTACCCACGATACTCCGAAAATGACGACCACCATCAGGTAATAAATCACCAGAGTCCCTCCCCAGCTTGAGATTCAGCTCAATCGGAGTAGAAACCGGAATGCATTCACCATATCGGGCTGACTCCAGCAGGTCAGCAATGTACTTGTGTTGGCTAAGTAAAATACCATGGCGAGAACGAGTAACCTCCAGCCCTAGGTAGTAAGACAATGAACCAAGCTCCTTAAGATGAAAAGACTCATGGAGCACTTTAGTAAGGGCTGCAATCCCCTCGGCATCATCCCCAGAAACTATCATATCGTCAACATATAGCAGGAGCACAACCAGGCCTCGGGAAGTAGTCCGAGTAAACAGAGATGGATCATTAAGACTCGGAGTAAATCCCAGGCTAAGAACAGTGGACTGAAATTTGTCAAACCAGGCACGAGGAGCCTGCTTAAGGCCATACAAAGACCGATGAAGAAGACAAACCTGATCCGGAGTACCGTAGGGATAACTAGGAGGACGCTCCATGTAGACCGTCTCCTTCAACTCACCATGAAGGAAGGCATTCTTAACATCGAGCTGATACAATGGCCACCCTTTGAGAGAGGCGACCGCAAGGAGAGAACGAACAGTAACCATCTTGGCTACCGGAGCAAATGTCTCTTCAAAATCGATACCATATTCCTGAGCAAATCCCTGGGCCACTTCCCGAGCCTTAAATCGCTCAATAAATCCTTCCGGATTGGCCTTGAGAGCATAGACCCACTTACTACCGATAACTGGAATCTCTGGTGGTGGGCGAGGAACCAACTCCCACGTGTGATTAGCATGAAGAGCATCGAACTCCTCATTCATGGCACCATCCCATCTCGAATCCCCACGAGCCTGAGCATAGCTGGTAGGTACAATAACCGGATCAACCTGAAAAGTGGCATAGTCATTAAGGTAGGAGGGCGGCTGACCCAAGTTTGCCCGTAGCGAGCGCCGAGGAGGGATGACCGGTGCTGGAGATGAAGCCGAGGAAGACTCCGGAGACGATGGTGGTGTCGAGGGGGCAGGAGATGAGGCAGCCATGGGCGGGCTAGGCGGAGAGTCCGGGTCGAGGCCATCATTAGCATCATCAACATCAACATCGTCAGGGAACGAGGGAAGACTCAAGGCAGAGTCAAAAAGAGGAGGAGACTCAGACGGCACAGAGGAATAGAACATCAAATTCTCAAAGAACACTACGTTGCATGCGGTACGAATCCGACGAAGAGAGGGGTCATAGCACACGTATCCCTTATGAATGTCGCTATACCCAAGGAACATGCAACGAGCTGTTTTAGATGTAAGTTTAGTACGTTCAGACCTGGGAAGAAGGACGAAACATAGACAACCAAATACCCGAAGACGCGAATAAGGGGGATGATGACCAAACAGCCTAAAATAAGGACTCTCTTGACCTAAAACCGGGGTAATTTGGTAATTGATCAAACGAACAGCAGTGACACGGTTTCAGGCCAAAAAAAAGAAGGGACACGAGAAGCCAATAAGAGAGCCCTAGTAACTTCAACGACATGTCTATTTTTACGCTCAACCAGACCATTTTGTTGGGAAACACCAGGACAAGATTTTTGGGTTAGAATACCGAGAGAGCGATACAACTGAAGAAGGGGAGTGGAACTGAATTCCCCACCAAGATCGGAGCGGACTACACGAACTGTTCTATT